AAACGTTTTACTTTGAAATAATTTTAGATTTATAAGAGTTGCAGAGACAGGACACGGGGTTCCTGGACGCTGGTGCCCAGCCTCCCAGCAGTTACACATTTCATCACAGGGAGTGCCTCCCAAGGAGAGGACGTGAAGGGCGGTGCAGACTGTCACCGGGAGGCCTCTTGTGGGCAGTGACATCGGAGCACAGGCTTGAAGGAGGTGAGGAAGGAGCCGTCCAGGCAGAGGGACAGCCAGCCCGGCCCACGAGGCGGGAGAAGCCTGTGTCGTCCCAGAACAGCCCGGTGGGCTGAGGCCGTCGGAGCCCGAGGGTGGGGTGCGGTCCCCCAGTGCAGCCCCGGAGGGGCCTCACCAGGGCTTCCTTTCTCCTCGAGGTGAAACCAGGATCCCTGAGCAGGGGACGGGCGAGGGGCACCACCAGACAGATTCCATCTGGGCCCTTCTGACCGCTGTGCGGGTGGGGGGGGCTCCCGCAACAGTCCAGGCGAGAGGTCGGGGCGTGCGCGCCGGGAGCGGGAGGAGTGCCGCGTTCCAGGCGCGTTTTCCTCCCGGGCTGGGCTCAGTCCACGGCTCTCAGGGCGCTTCTCCCCCGAGGTGCTTGCCCGGGTTCTTGGTTCTCCTTCCGTCGGCTGCAGCCCGCGTTCTCTCCCCGCCCTGACCACAGCTTCCATCCTCTATGCGCAGGGCGAGTCTAAACATTAAGGCCCTATAAGGAACTTCTATATAACATGTACACTTTGTGTAATTGTGACATTTCACTGCCAGCCAAAAAGCTGGCTTCCGGGCACCACAACTTTCGTATCCAGGTCTCCAGGAGGAAAGGTCTAGACTGCTCCGCACTGTTTGCTGGGAAGTAATCACACTAGTACACACATCTTCACACGTGGATTTTCTTATTTCTTCCCTATCTGCTTTCCCAGCCCACCCCCACGCAGCAGATGCAGGTTTCCGACTTCCACCCGCTGTGAAAGGAGGGCTCAGTCAACACCCACCGTCCCATACAGACACAAAGACAAAAGATAAGGGAACACGCTCTTCGCCTTGTGATGAGAACTCAACATTGACTCTCTTGACCACTTTCCCGTGGATCACACAGCAGTGGTAACGGGAGTCACACGTGGCCCATTATTTCCCTAGCACACACTTACCTCACACCTGGCAGTTTGTACCTTTTGGCCACCTTCCTCCAGGTCCCCTTCCCCCACCCCGCTGGTAACCAAGTCTCATCTCTTTTTCTATGAGTTTAGTTCGTTCTTTTTCTTTCCTTCTATCTTTCTTTAGATTCCACATATAAGTGAACTAAAGTAGTATTTGTCTTTCTCTGCATGACTAGTTCCACTTACCCCAATAGCCACTATACATGCTTTTTTTTAACATTTTTTTGAGTTATAGTCATTTTACAATGTTGTGTCAAATGCCAGTGTAGAGCACAATATTTCAGTTCTACATGAACATACAGATATTCATTGTCACATTTTTGTGTGTGTGAGCTACCACAAGATCTTGTGTATATTTCCCTGTGCTATACAGTATAGTCTTGTTTATCTATTCTGCATATACCTGTCAGTATCTACAGATTTTGAACTCCCAGTCTGTCCCTTCCCATGCCTCACCCTCTGGCAACCACAAGTTTGTATTCTATGTCTATGAGTCTGTTTCTGTTTTGTATTTATGTTCTTTTGGGGGGGTTCTATATATGAGTGATCTCATGTGGTATTTTTCTTTCTCTTTCTGGCTTACTTCACTTAGAATGACATTCTCCAGGGACATCCATGTCGCCACAAATGGTGTTATGTTGTCAGTTTTTATGGCTGAATAGTATTCCATTGTATAAATATACCACTTCTTCTTTATCCAGTCATCTGTTGATGGACATTTAGGCTATTTCCATGTCTTGGCTATTGTAAATGGTGCTGCTATGAACACAGGGGTGCAGGTGTCATCCTGAAGTAGGGTTCCTTCTGGATATATGCCCAGGAGTGGGATTCCTGGGTCATATGGTAAGTCTATTCCTAGTCTTTTGAGGACTCTCCATACTGTTTTCCATAGTGGCTGCACCAAACTGCATTCCCAAGAGCAGTGTAGGTGGGTTCCCTTTCCTCCACAGCCTCTCCAGCATTTGTCATTCGTGGACTTTTGAATGATGGCCATTCTGACTGGTGTGAGGTGATACCTCATTGTAGTTTTGATTTGTATTTCTCTGATAATTAGTCATATTGAGCATTTTTTCATGTGCCTTTTGATCATTTGTATGTCTTCCTTGGAGAATTGCTTGTTTAAGTCTTTTGCCCATTTTTGGATTGCGTTGTTTGCTTTTTTCTTATTATGTTGTATGAGCTGCTTATATATTCTGGAGATCAAGCCTTTGTTGGTTTCATCATTTGCAAAAATTTTCTCCCATTCGTTTTGTTTTACTTCTGGTTTCCTTTGCTGTGCAGAAGCTTGTAAATTTCATTAGGTCCCATTTGTTTATTCTTGCTTTTATTTCTATTGCTTGAGTAAACTGTTCTAGGAGAACATTTTTGAGATGTAC